AGTGAGTGAGGTCTCGATAACACCAAACTAATTATTTTGGTCAACAGTTTAAAATACCACAATAAAGCATTATCATAGCAAAAAACTGGCAACAACCCAAATGCCCATCCACGGGAGAATGGATCATTAACTGGTGGCATATTCCTACAACACAGTGCTGTATAACAACAGCAATGAGTGAACAGAGTACTAGCATAACCATCCACATGAATGAATCTCATGAATATAACACTGAAGCAGATCATAAAAGATATCATTCTACACAATTTATACAGCTATAAACTCAAGATAATCTGTGATGTTGGAATGCAGGTCGGTACATTTAGGGAGGGTGAAGTCATGACTGGGTGGGGACACGAAGGAAACTTGGGTGGTGGCGATGTTCCATTTCTTATCGTGGTGGTGGTTAGTGACATGGGTATGTTCACTTTGAGAAAAGTTGCTGAGCTTAACAATTATGATTTGTATGCCTCCCTGTATGAACATTATTCTTAATCAATACATTTGAAAATCATGTAATAATTCCTTTACCTAAAACGTAAAGTCCAAATTCATAGGATCCCCTCAATGACCAGCACACTTCTCAAACCTTCTCTCTAGGTATTCTCTTCGTGTATGTTCACTTCACTCAATCTGAATTTTTTGTCTCTCCCTGAAAGAGACAGCAGGGCATGGTTTCATGAATGAAAGTGGGGTGATAATTGTGGGGCTGATAACACTTACCCTACAGTGCTTTTGTGAGGATTAAATATAAGAATGTACGTGCAGTTCTTGGCACAGTTCCTGAAGCATAGCAGACACTCAGTTCCTTCCTCCTTTTCCCCTCCCACCAGTGCAAATGAATAGACCTATGATAACTCTGGACATTATTAGGGTATTGTAGCTGAAGTCACTTTTTGAGTGGTATTGCCCATAAATCTCATTATCCATTTGGTGGAGTTTATCCCCCAAAGACAGTGACTTGTCTTCAATTCCCAAGAATACAAATCTTGACACAAATGCAACTTTCTTGGGCAAGCTGTCCCAACAAAACTCATACTTTAATGTTTGAGTCAGAACGTTCCCAAATCCCTTGGAAATATCACCACATACCCATTATCTGATAAAGGGATAAAGAACAGCTGCAGCTAAGGAAAGACATTTCATGAGGTCTGGTTTTACTTTATTTGGTCACTGTAGGTAGATGGGGTCATTAGAAGAATCTGAGAGTTTTAGAACTGCAAGCTGCTGCTTCTATTGGTTGCTGTTTTTCAAAATATTATCTTCTTGCTATAAAAATGCTTTCCTTCTCATGCCAGATTTCATAAAGACCTTCCATCTGGCCTGTCTAGTCTTAAGACTAGAATCTTGAGATGCTCATTCCTCTTACAACTTGCAGTTTAAAATGATCCAGATGTAGAAGAATTAGGTTTTACAGCTTTTTCTAAAGGATTTTGTCTTCCTAATCCTACAACTACATGTATTGAGAACTGACCAACAGGAGACAGCTCTAACAATGAACCTATTACAAGTTTTCTGCTGGCTATGTTATTTTTCATTTGGCATGCTTTAGGAGAATAAAACCATGAAATAAAAGCATTGAAATCTATTAGAATAAGGACCATAGAGAATCAGGTAATCCATAGTGAATCAGGTAATCCATAGTGGGCAAGACAAAAAGGAGAGAGAGAGAGAGAACACTAAGAATGAAAAACAAGACTAGAATCAAACTGTATTAGAAATAGAATCCTCATGGATTTTACCAGTTTGTTGTGATCTAGGAGTATGCCAAATTGACTTTATAAATTCTGATCCTTATAAATTCTGATCTTCTAAATTCTAAATTCTTTATAAATTCTGGTCCTTAATTTCTTAATCCACAAAATGTGGCGAGGGATACTAAATTATGAAAAGTAGATGGGATACTGATGAAAGCCCTTTCATTCCCAGGAAGATAGACTTTGGTAAATTCACTCACCTGGGCCCCAAGCTGTAGGGGCCACACAACGACTCAGGGAGGAGGAAACAAGGGAGTAGTTAGCCACTCCAAAGAGCTGCTGCTCCATTTCCCCCTTTCTCTCCCCTGTTCACCCATCTGCTCCCCTTTTCTCCTTCCTTGTCCACCCATCTGCTCCCTCCTTGCTCATAAAGCATATTTATCTTCAGTGTTTTCCTGAAGTTAATGTTCATATAATTTCATATGTAGAAAAATGTGGGAGGTGGAGAAAAAAGGAGTGTACAGCAGGAGATACCCTGAGATGGCCCTGACAGCATATGGTATGAACGACAAACCGCCATTCGGTTGAAATTCATCCCTTGAGCACCTTCGAGCTTATTTTCTCATGTAAATAAGCCTACAGAAATGGAGGAAAGGCCTCCCCCTATTAAAATGTTAGCTTTCGATCTTTTACTTTTAAAGGGTAGCACAGAAATAAAATTCTAAGGACCACAGACACATGAAAAAAAAAAAGGCATGTGCATAAAGGCAAGGCTTGGGGAATCAGATGTTTGAGCAATGAGAAGATAACCCAATGGTCAGGGCCTAAGGTTTTCTGTAAAGGGATATATTTTTGATTTGAAGCCTTGGAATCTTGGTGGTGGTGGTGGTGGTGGTGTAATATGTTGATAGAAAGGAGCTTCAGCCGGTTGGGGCAAGGTGCTGCTGGTGATAATCTCACTTTGCTCTCCAATAATAATTTCATCAAACAGCAGGAAATAGGAACATTGCTGTGTCACCTGAACTAGCAGTGTGTCCTAGATTTTGTTTCTTCCTAAATACTCTCTCTGAGAAATCCTGACTTGGTTATTTACCTCAAAAGAAAAGAAATTTATTTACATAATTGATGCTGACCAGGCATCTGTAAGAAGAAATGGGGAGCAAATGTTTTAATAGGTACCAAAATGGCTAATGAATGTGACATCAGGGTGAGTATCAAGGGAGGTTGTGATTTATGCGTCAACATGTGCCCAAGGGAATGGTGTGTCCTGGAGGATACCCAGAAACACCTGGCCTAGGAATATGCCCCAAAGTCAAGTCACCATGGGCAGAAGAGAAAATGAAAACTTGAGTTTACTGTTGGTGATGTTGATTCCTGTGGAATTTTTAAATTTGCCAGGTGGTAGATATAAATGGCCAATTTGAATACTTTTTAATATAAAAATAATCTGTGAAGTCTTCATCCCTGGAAATCCTTTTGAAAGGAACAATTACCACCTAAAGGAATATTTAAGCATGCATTTACCAAGACCCTGAGAACCAGAGTTTTGGCTACATTATTTATCGAGCTCCTTTCCGGCTCTGTCATTACAAGTCTCAATTTATACAGAGATCTGTAGCTGTCCCTGGGTTTCAAAAGCCCATATGAGGTGATGATGACATAATAGTTAAGTTTTATCAACAATGATGAGTCAGGATTTGAATGAGTTTCTCTGTATAGCTCTCTAGTGATAAAATATCTGGGCAGAAGTACTTCTCCCACCTCTAGGCAGCAAAATGGTTCATTGTGGAGGTGCTATGCAATTTCAGAAATAAGCAACACACTTTGCTTTAAACATGGTGCAGAAATTGAACTGAGTCCCACTCGGGAGGCTTGCTTCATTTTCACAGTTCTATGGTCTAGGGGCTAAAGTTCTGAAGGGAGGAGAAAGGCAGGCAGGCATATTTTCTGCACTTGTTTAGTGGGCCTCAAAAGCCTCTGCTCATTTATTTGTTGAAGACAGGGTCATCTCATTTAACTCAGCAGGAGTACATGTGCACCAGCTAGTGCAGAAAGGCTGGCTCATAATTTTCTGTGTTTCAAATATATATTTCAAAGGTATTTCCAATATACTCCCCATGGAAGAGGATGCACAGGCAACCAGACCCAGGCCCCTGCTTCCTGCTCCATAAATGGTTAAGTCAGGGAAGCCTCAGATTCACAGGTCCATCCTGGGTGTTTAAGGTCAGGCACATTATGTCCAAATGTGTAACCAGAGAAAAATGTGACCCGGAGTAATGTCGAGTTCAGAAAAGGAGCAGAAGCTGTTGGAGCAAGGGGTAAAAGAAGAATGGTGGGAGAACCCCACTTTTGGGAAAAACACCCCTCCCCCAACTTATTTGACCATCTGTTACCCTCCTGGACTCAGAGATATTCGATGCAGGAGGCAGGGAAGGACAGTGAGGAAGGTTAGGAAGAAGCATCCGGGGAGGCTGACACCCTCTGTCTCATCCTTCTAACTCAAGGACAAGCAGGGTTGAGTTGAATCCAAAATGGGACACAGCCCCCCAAAATAAAAAATACAAAAGTATGTATATTTTAACTATGCAAAACGATGTATCATCCTGTGATAGCAGCAGGAACCCCTTCCATTTAGCCTGGATGCCCTTTCATCTTCATTATGCAGGGAGCCAGTCTCTCACCTTGCAGTATTGGGTGGAAATAGCTAAAGACTAAACTTCCTGTCTCAACTCTCACTTTCAGGGTTTATTTTGTAATTTAAGGAAATGAGGCAACCCCATCACCTGCCCACCTGGGGATTTTCTTTATCGGGACTAAGCACATCATTATTTTCTGAGGGCTGGAGCAACCGCACCGTCCTTTCTAATCAAAGGTTTTTCAATCAGCGTTGCTTTGAAATCACCTCGTCCCCCAGCGGTCCTCGCCGCACACCCTTCTCCGCGTGATTTCCACTCAAGTTTTTTCCTCCTAGCACCCCTCCCACATTCATGTCATCTTTAAGCCGCCTCAAATCCTTTTGCAAGGAAGCAGGATAAAATTCTTAAACCACAGTTATACACAATGTCGACACTCAGCTTCACACATCTGAGGGTGGTCTGACCGAGAAATGCGTTCCTTACTAGGAGGTCCACGGGGAGGCACAGTGCCCAGGCGACCCCCGGAGTCTCCCTCCCCGTGCCCCAACCCCCACCGCCTTCGCGCCCCAGAGGGGGCAAAAGTCCCTACACCAGTGCTTGAGCCCCTGGCCCGAGGAGGGGGTGAGCAGGGAAGCCGAGGTCGTCCCCGGCAGCGGGCGCCCCTCACCTTGTGGGCGGTGCGTGCAGCCGCGTCGCACTGGGTGACCTGGGGCGTCCCGCTGGCTCCCGAAGTCTCACTCCGAACACGCTCGGTTCTCTCCTGAGCTCTGTCAAAGCACAGCTTGTTTCCACATCGGGCTCTAGGGCACGCTGGGCTCGGGGCGCTGGCCCCTCGGGCGTCCTTTGCCCGCGCCCGGGCCCCCAGGCTGCGGCGAGAAGGAGCCGGGAGCGCGGCGCGCTGAGCAGCCCCGTGGCGCGGCGGGCGGCAGGCGAGGCGCTTTGCGAAGTCTGGGCGCCCCGACTGGAAGAGGAGGCGAGAGCGAGAGAGGGGAGGAGGCGGAGCAGGAGCGGGAGCAGGAACAAGAACAGGAGCAGGGGCCAGTCTACTAAATCACCCGGCAGGTTGCAGACGCCCAGGACACCAATGAACGGCGAAGGGGGTGGGAGCCGGGGTGCAGTGCGGGCGGTGGCCGTGGAGGAGAACTTGGGGGTCGGAGCTCCGAGGTGCTTCAGGTCTTGCTTAGGCTGTAAAAGAAAAATTCTGGAGCTGGTGGCGCCCTCAGGGCTCCCAGTTGCAAACACTAGAGGGCAGCGCTGTCCATGCTATAAGCCTGGCTTACGGATTTGGTGGTGTGGACAAGCGTCCCACATCCAGAGCCCTTTGTTGGGGGCTGCCCAGGAGGAGAAGGGTCCAGGTGGTGCAAGGAAGGGCAAATCCCATACTTTTTCTGTGGCCAGCCTTGGTTGGGGAGAGAGGGAATACAGTCGTTGACTCCTCCAGGCAAACCCTATGGAAGTGAATTACTCATCTTTCCTTGAGGGGAAAATTACAGTCAGCATCCACAGGGTGCTTTAAGGAGAGGGATGGGAAGAAGAGGATGAGGAAGAAGTAGAGGAACACTGGGGTGGGGAAAAGTGGAAGGGGGCAGAGAGGTAGGGAAAGCAGAGGTTAAAAGGGGAAGGGGAAATGTTGGAGGTGATATTTCAGGTTGGCAAGGTCTCTTGTGCTCTTCCCAGTGTTCCAGAGGTATCCACCTGCTTCAAGGCCAGAGGAGTAAACTTGGGAGGGACTTTATAGAATCCTGGCACTGTTGAAGGAAGCTTCCTGAGGGCTGGTTGGTTACTTCCCAGAGGGAACTTGGGTGGCTCTGAAACCTTGGAGCTTCATATAGATTGATTCCCTGATATTTTGGGAGGAAAAAAAAAAATCAGATTATTTGAACTACAACCCTGGCAGATGGGAGAGGAGAGATGGGGAGTTATAAAATAGAATAGCAAATCTTATGCAGACTATATGATCTGTAGACAGCCTGATACAAGTTGAAAGGACTTGGGAACCTCTGTAGACAACCCATATATTTCCCCAAAATGCCTGCCTCACACTTGCCTTTCTAGTGTGTGGTTTTATGGCTGAATTGAGAAGGCTTTATTTGATTTGATTTAATTTTTTGGTAGCTTGGCTTCTCTAAAACAAATGAAATCCTTCTTCAATTCAGAAAGCAAGCATGCATGCCCTTTTTCTTGCCTTCTGAAGTGCTTTTCAGGATCAGCAGTGGCTGGGTGGTGGTGTGAAGGGGAATTTCACTGAAAAGAGAAAGGAAGGTTGGTAAACTCTAGTCATGAATTGTGATTTGCTTCTGTTAATCCTAAGAGAAAAATCCTTTAGTACACTAAAGCCAAACAGGAGGATGGGATGGAAGGATATTTTCCTACCAAAGAAAGATAGTACTTCCAAGACATCGGTTTGAAATGTGTTTGATGTTAGAGCTGTTATGTAAAAACATACAGAACAAGAACCTTTCCTCATTTTAGAAAAGAACCTCATAGGATTAAATTTTTTTTTAGATACCCCAGGAGTAAATGAGGATAGGGTTCTGTTCTGGCAACTCTGGAATCCTTCCAACAGATGAATAAAATTTGAGTTCATTTTTGTCTTTTTTTTTTAAATTTTTTTAAAGAATTAGTTTACTAATTCTTTGATTATTACAGTGTTAGCAACTATGGAAACATACATTATACATTTGGAAACTCTCCTGAACATACCTCAGCATACCTTGGCTTTAGAGGTAGATTTTAGCTTCATGAGATTCATGGTTATTCTCAAGCTATTAATTAATTTCTAGGATGTACTTTATCAGTTTTAATGAAATACAACATCTGCTTAATAGCAGCTGATAATTCAATTTGTGGCTTGCCCATTTGATTTTCCATGGGGCTCTATGAGTACTTTAAGATGGTAGGTATATGTAAATTATGTGCTGATTTCATAATGGAGAATTCCTTGTCATGTAACAAAAAATATCTATAAAGATATTGAATGGAGCCTTGGGTACATGGCGTAACAAATTTATCAACTGTGGTGAGAATTCAAAAGTCGTTATGAAGGAATGAACTGATCAAATTCATTCACTCATTCAAAAATGCTGGTAAACACCTGCCCTTTACCAGGCATGAGCCAGCTTCTAGGAATACAATAAAGAAGACACAGTTTCTTCTTTGATGCACTATAGAATATAGAGGGAAGACCGATTCACAAACTAACAAAGCCAATCCTAAATAACAGTTGGGAGAAGGGGGAAGTACAATGTTCTGTGGAAGCACAAAGGAGGGCACTCTGATCCAGCCTTGAGGATCAGGGAAAACCAGCTGGAGGTACGGGTGGTGGTTGTGTGTGTAAAGGAGAAGGGGTGGTTGGTAGTGGTGGGGAGTGGGAAAAATGATGAACAGTAGCTTGTGTCCATCCCCCAAACACATCCTAGTCCTATTTGTTAGCTTTCTGCTAGGATGCTGGAAACTTACTTAAATATATGAAGAAGCAAGCATACACATGCTGCATTTTCCTCATATGAATTAGACTAGAATATTCTTCAGGTAGGGACTATGTATGACTTTTTCATGTCACCATTATAGAGAAAAGTCAAGACTAATAGACATTTGCCTGGAGTTTCCTACCTCCACTGTGGAAGTGGAAATAAAATGGAAAAGGAAGGAGTTATGGTGGGGAGGAGCTCATGCTTACTGAGTTTACACTGTCCTAGGTTCTCTCCATATGGTATCCCACCAAACAATCCCAACAACCCTATGATATACTTATCTCTTTTACTGTTGCCTTTTTTTTTTTTTTGAGAGAGAGTGAGAGAGTGTGGGTGGGTGGGGGTGTGAGGGAGGGCAGAGGGAGAGAGAGAGAATCTTAAGCAGATGCTGGATTTCATCTCACAACCCTGAGATCATGACCTGCTGAAATCAAGAGTCAGATGTTTAACCAACTAAGCCACCCAGGTGACCCTTTACTGTTGCTTTGGAAGAATGAACTTCAAATTGCATTCTGTGTTCATGGTGTGATAAAGGCGAGAGGGAAAGGATGAAATGTCTGTAGGTAGCTTTTTGCACTAATCAGTGGTCAGTAAGTTATGCTATGGGATCAAAGCATAAACCCCAAAGATATATATCTTTGGTATATATCTTGCCTACGGTAAATATTAGCTGTGAATTGGCTATAGGTCCACTCCATGGGTTCATTAGGGGACCTAGGCTGATGGGGTTAGACCAGTTTTTTTTTTTTTTTTTAAGATTTTATTTATTTGACAGAGACACAGTGAGAGAGAGGGAACACAAGCAAGGGGAGTGGGAGAGGGAGAAGCAGGCTTCCCGTGGAGCAGAGAGCCCGATGCGGGACTCGATCCCAGGACTCTGGGATCATGACCTGAGCCGAAGGCAGACGCTTAACGACTGAGCCACCCAGGCGCCCCGGGGTTAGACCAGTTTTTAGAGGGAAGAGTAATAGTATAATATCACAATGGCTCCGGGCGCCTGGGTGGCTCAGTTGGTTAAGCGACTGCCTTCGGCTCAGGTCATGATCCTGGAGTCCCGGGATCGAGTCCCACATCAGGCTCCCTGCTCAGCAGGGAGTCTGCTTCTCCCTCTGACCCTCCTCCCTCTTATGCTCTCTGTCTCTCATTGTCTCTCTCACAAATAAATAAAGTCTTAAAAAAAAAATTAAAAAAAAAATCACAATGGCTCCTAAAGCTTTTACTCAATTATAGGATAAATCACTTCTATTCATATTCCATTTGCTAAAGTAAGTCATATGGCTGAGTATGCTTCCTCCAAGGAGAGATTCCAGGAGGGGCTCTGTAGAGATGGGCCTGGTAGTGACAAAATATGGCAAACAAATTATCAATTGACAAGTCTCCAGCGATGCTTTTGAATGAAGGCATTTTGTCTTTAAAATATTTATTTGTCATTATTAAACTATGGAAAGAGCCCAAGTGTCCATTGACTGATAAATGGATAAAGAAGATGTGAGATGTATATATAATTGAATATTACTCAGCCATAAAAAAGAATGAAATCTTGCCATTTGCAACTATGTGGTTGGAGCTAGAGAGTATTATGCTAAATGAAATAAGTCAGAGAAAGACAAATACCATATGATTTCACACATATGTGAAATTTAAGAAACAAAACAGATGAACATATAGGAAGGGGGAAAAAAAGAAAAAAGAGAGGGAAACAAACCGTGAGAGACCCTTAAAGACAGAGAACAGACTGAGGGTAGATGGAAGGAGGTGAGTGGGGGATGGGGTAGTTGGGTGATGGGTATTAAGGAGGGCACTTGTGGGGCGCCTGGGTGGCTCAGTCAGTTAAGCGTCTGCCTTCAGCTCAGATCATGATTCCAGGGTCCTAGGATCAAGCCCCACGTCAGGCTCCCTGCTCAGCAGTGAGTCTGCTCTGGCTCTCCCTCTGCCCTTCCCCTTGCTCGTGCTCTCTCTCTCTCCCTCAAATAAATAGAATCTTCAAAAGAAAACTATAAAAAAAAAAAAAGGAGGGCGCTTGTTAGGATGAGCACTGGGTGTCTTATGTAAGTGATCAATCACTGAATTCTACTCCTGAAACTAGTATTGCACTGTACGTTAACTAACTGGAATTTAAATAAAAATTTGAAAAGAAAAAAATCATTGATTCTATTGGCTGATGGTGTTCACCAACCTCAGGATATAAGGAACAAAATAATGAATCTAGGCTGACTAACTTAATTGATGATGATATGTCATCAGGATCCAAACTTTACAGGCATAGTTGTCCGTGCACTAAGAAAAAGCTTTATTCTCTGGGCATCCACTGGCTATTTCTGAGCATCCACTGGCTATTTCTCCGTGCCTTATTTCCATAAGGAAATGAGTAAGGCAGAGTAGGTGGATTAGGAGAACCCTATCATGGAACTAAACCTCAGGCTCTGGTAGTATTGGCAGTGGCTCATGATCAACATACTTCTTTACTGAAAGTGATCATGAGAAGCAGCTCACTCAGTGAAGAGTAGAAAGAGTTAACACATTTTCAATAAATATTTCTTAAACACCCCCAGCCAGGACATTTGAAAGACATACATCTGGTTCCTCCCTCAAGAAACTCCAAAGTCAAGGTAGGGGAAGGCACTTACATGAATTACTACATGAAAGAGCTGAAGAAGCAGAGAAGCCTCTGTGAAGGAATTGGGGCTAAGCTGAATTTGGAAAGACATGCAGGGTATGACTAGGCTCTCTCTGTGTATGGCTAATCTTTCTGTCTCAGTGCCTGTCTTCTTGCCCTCAGGGAAAAGGAGGAACTCAGGGGTAAATACTTTGCCTAAGAATATAGATGTAGCTGAGTTGAGATTTAGACTCAGGACTGGCTCTAAAGATCTTGCAGTGTGTTCCAGGGACGTGCTGGTGGAGTGCTGAGGAAAAGGAGAGATTATGGGCCTTGCTTGTGGGACTCAGTTGGCTGTAGGACTCAGACTCACCAAAGCAGGGGATTTCTGTGGCAGAATACGGCAGTGCGGATGTGTGTGTATGGGGCGTGTTGGGTGGACCGATCACAGAGTGCCTTAAGATATGTTTATTATTATTTATTATTATTAGTCATATTACTTTGCATAGAGATTTACGACTCTCAAAACACTCTCACTGTCTCTGCAAAACCCAACAATTCCACATCATTTTTAACAAAGAAACAGGGTTTACAATATAACATATTAGGTGATGATAATACCTTAACTTTATATATATTTATTGACTTATTTGTAAAGCTTTATTGAGGTATAACTTACATAACCTAACATTTGCCCATCGTGAGTATACAATTCATGGGTTTGTTAAATGTGCAGAGTTGTGCAGCCATCATCAGTCCAGCAGGAGAACATCTCCATTACCCTAAAAATTTCCCTCATGCCTGTTTACAGTCAATGTCCCTGCTCCCACCGCCTGTCCTAGGCAGCCACTGATCTGCTTTCTGTCTTTATAAATTTGCATATCAGTGCATATAAATATGCAATATTATGCGTCTGGCTTCTTTTACTTAGCACAATGTCTTTGGGTTCATCTGTATGTAGCAAGTACCAGTAGTTCCTTCTTTCCAATTACTGAGTTGTTTTGCATTATATGGATATGTAATACTTTTTTCCCTAGTCTTGTCACCAGGGGCTGAACATTTGTATAATTCCCTAACTTTAAATAGCACTTTTACATTTACAAATCACTTCAGCATATATTATCTTAATTGACCCTCACGAATCAGGGGAGAAGTCAAAGCAGGTTGCTGTTCTTACTTTATCATGACAATAAGGATGGTAATAATAGCTGACATTTATGGAGTTCTTCCTATGTGCAGTGCTGCTCTAAACATATTATGTGTATTAACTCATTTAATCTTTGCAACAACATTTGCGGAGAGGGCTATTATTATCCTCATCTTTTAGATTGGTAGATTGGTTCAAAGAAGTTAGGCAACATTCCCAAATCTTTGTAGCCAGAGAATGGCAACACTGAGGTTTAAAACCTGGCTGGCACCAGGAGTGAGGCCTAGAGAAGTCAGCAGATAAATTATTTAAGGCCATCGTCAATACATGGAGGTGTACTTTCAATGTAGATATATTCAATATAAAATTGTTTATCAGATCCCCAAGAATTTTAGAGAAATCTGACACCTTAGACATTAATATATAGTATACTTTTTTTTTTTTTTTGGTACAGATAAGGATATAAGCTGTGAAAAGAAAGATAGGTATGGCCTTTTCCAAAGTCACATGTCTGGTCAGAGGCAGGGTCTGCATTAGATCCCAGGTCTCCTGACTTCAAAGTTGGTACTTTCGTCATTAGCATCCTCCTTAAAGATTGATACAAAGCCTGGTGTGCTGGGAGACAGAAAAAGAGTGAGTTGTATTGAATATACTGAAACTGAAAGAAAGAGCATCATGGAGACACAATTGCTTTTCTTTGAATCTGCGGTGCAAAGAGTGCATGTCTGGGAGCCCCAAACCTACTTTAGTTCCAGCAAATTCTTGAATACACAGGTAACTGGGTCAACATGGGAATTCCATGTGTCTATACAGAGAGAATTAGCCACAATCCTTTCAGAAAGTGTTGGTATTAAAAAATGTTTTTATTTTTTTTAAAGATTTTATTTATTTATTTGAGAGAGAGAGAGCATAAGTGGGGGCAGAGGCAGAGGGAGTGGGAGAGGGAGAAGCAGACTTCCTGCTGAGCAGGGAGCCCGATGCCAGGCTTGATCCCAGGACCCCGAGATCATGACCTGAGCCAAAGGCAGACACTTAAGCAACCGAGCCACCCAGGCACCCCTAAAAAAGGTTTTAAATTAAAGTTAATTACATAAGGCTCTGGAAATTATTATTAACAAATACTTTCCAAAGCAAGTCCTTGGAAGGAAAGTAGATTGAGTTTCTCACAAGAGTCTCTCTTAAAATTTCAGCCCTAGGAACTTCAGACATCATAATGGCAGCACCAATGGTGAAATATTCTGATATTTTACCTTTCCCTCAGTGGATTTCCAACTCCTTCCTTTCTTCTTACATTTTGAGTAAGGGTCCCTAATGTTATAGCTTAAATGGTCCTCCATGTGGGAGGTGGTTCAAGCCTTCTTCTCACCGCTGTCTTGTTCTCCACGGCCATGCTGCACAGTGAAGGAAAGACTGTGCCTCCCCCAGCACTGTTGGGGAGCTGTTGGGCAGTATGGGATGCAGAGCTGACTCCCTCCAGGCACTGGATTCTCTTTTCATCATAGCTTCAGCAGACTCGGCTTTACATCCTAGGCTCTAGAGGTACAATGTTGAGGCTTGGTTTTCACCACCCCATATTCTCTTCTTACCCAAACAGGCCTATTCAGAGATTTGAGTTATTCACATTTTTTCCTATTATCCCTACAGGTGAAGATCTATAGCATTTCATGGAGGAGGCAGGATTTAGGATGGTCTGGAAGGAATGATGAGTACGACTGGACAAATTTTGGGAAAGTCCTATTCTGAGTAGAGGGGCAATTTATGCTAGCTAATGTGTGAAATTCATTTGAATCATAAGATAAAGTGTTCAGCGCATAAAATAGTTCAGTGTGACTGACCTTGGGGTGTGTGTTTAGGGGTCAGGGCTGGGGTAATGTTTTGGAAATTATCCTTGAAAGGAAGAGGAACCCTGCCAGTCACCATAAGGAGTATGAAGGATCTTAATCTGGATTGGATCACAGCAGGTCAAGACAGCAAGCAAGGAAAACCAGAGCTATTGCAATAATTATGTGTGAAGTTATATGAAGCAGAAATAAGACAGAGGTTATGGATACTATAGAAATAGGGAAGTATTTGAGACAGACCTAAAAAGGCAAAATCAACAGGATTTGGTGACGAACTAGAGAGGAGGGGCAGGAGGGAAAAGGAATGTTGGAATTTCACTTGTTTCTAGGCTGGGAGATCAAAAAATGCAAAAATAAAAAGAAAGTAAATAGAAGAACCCAGAAGGCCATTTTGAATACAAGTGTCTAGAGGTCTGTGACAGACCTCTTGAGCAGACAGAGCCAATTCAGTGGCTTCCTCAGGTTTGTGTTCTGCTTTTGTGCAGACCGTCTAATTGTTGGACCAGAGAGTGGCAGGTTCTTGTTCTTTATCAGAAAAGTTCTACACACTGATTTCAATTCAACACTCTGATTAATTGAAAGTCATTTTACTGGTAAGAAAAAGGTGGGTGAAGGATAGGTAGGTTTGAGGAGAGGAGAAGAAAACATGAGAGAAGGGGATTTCATTTATTAACTCTATTCTTTCTGATGTGTTTCCCTGGCACAGCGGTTTCTAAACCTGGAGACGCATCACAATCATCTGGGGAATGTAAAAATTAGAGCACCAAAACCCAGACCCTGCTCTAGACCTACCGAATTAAAATCCCTGAGGCTGTGGCCCCCAGTGGCCCTGGAAACTGTGTTTTTCAGAGACTTCCCCAAATGATTCCTCAATGTGTTAAAAAGAAAACGAAAGGACTCATATACAATGTATTTTCGACATAGTAGTTTTGTCTTAGAATAGGTTTTCTCTAACTGTTCAGATTATACAGACCTTCTTTTACCCTGCCAGATGTTTAATTGTTGTTTTCGTCTGCTCAGGCTGCCATAACAAAATAACACAGACTGGGTGGCTGGAAAAAAAAAAAGAAATGTATTTTCTCATGGTTCTGGAGACCGTAGAGTCCAAGATCAAGGTTCTAGCAGACTTCAGTTTCTGGTAACATTTTCTTTTTGGCTTGCAGATGGTTGTGTTTCTCTGCCCTCACATGGTGGCAAGAGAGAAAGAGACAGAGAGACAGAGATGGTTGGGGGGAGGGAGGGAGAGAGGGAGAGAGGCAGAGAGAAACATATCTTTTATAATGACACTAGTCCTGTGGGATCAAGTTTGCACCCTTATGATTTCATTGAACCTTAATTACCTCCTTAAAGGCCCTATCTCCAATACAGTCACATGAGTGGTTAAGGTTTCAACGTATGAATTTTAGGCGGACACAGTTCAGTCCATAGCAGGGGGTCTACAAAGCCAATTTCACCATCTCAAGTGAGATTTGCAACAACAATAAGACATACATACATGCGGAGTGTCATTCTAGCTTCTCTTCATTACAGTTATTAACACTCTACCTACTTTCTCACCACTGTTTTAAAATTTTACAAAGCAGAAATTTAAAAAAATCTGTGAAATCAAGAAACAAAATTATTTATAAAGCATCAAAGTGATGCATCCTGTTGTTTGGTAGGACATATCAGAGTAATCTTAGCAGTCTGGGATAGTAGGGTTAGTCCAACTCTTGATTCTTGGATCACTTGCACAGAATTATAGACTTTAATAATTTGTTTAAGGATTAAAATAATCATTTTGTATTTCAGGTAAAAATAGTTTTGTTAGCATATAATAATAACCATAATATCCATGTAGCAGGGTTATGGTGGAACCAAGAACCAAATCCAAGTTTTCTGAGACAAATTTTGTGTTTTTTTCCAACCCAGCTTGACTTCTTATTTCCTGCCATTGTTCTAATACAGTATTGTTCTACTAATTTCCTGGAATGTCGGAACAAAGTACCACAAGCTAGCTGGCTTCGAACAACAGAAATGTATTCTCTCACAGTTCTTGGGTGTGGAAGTTCAAAGTCAAGGTTTGGGCAGGGTGATGCTCCCTTTGAGATTCTGGTAGACCCTTCCTTACCTCTCCCGGCTTCTGGTGGTGGCCAGCAGTCCTGGGTGTTCCTTGGCTTCCAGCTCTATCAGTGCAGTCTCTGTCTCCTTTGTCACGTGGTGTTCTCGCTGTGTCTCTGTCCTTATGTGGCATTTTCCTCTTCCTACAAGGAAACCGGTCATATTGGATTAGGGCCCACTCTAATGACCTCATCTGAACTGAATTACATCTGCAAAGATCCTATTTCTGAACAAGATCACATTCACAGGCACAAGGAGTTGGGACTTCAACATATCTTTCTGGGGACATGATTCAACTCATAATATCTGGTAATCCAGCAAGAGCTCCTGGATTTCTGTACCAGACAATCACCTTTGTCTCCACATTAATACAGTATGCTATCTCACTGAGGAGACTGTTCTATAATTTAGACAACATTATTAATTTAAACAATTCTTTAAACTAAAAAGAAAATGTCTAGTTAATTTATACTTGATTGCTATGCATTCCTTTTAGGAGTAGAAAGTATTATTTTATGGAGGAAAAAAAAGATAATCAGAATGCTTAAGTGCCTGAATTCAGAAGGGTTTTTATGTATCTACAGGAACACAAACTCTGGAGTTTGTGGAGTTAAAATTTTTTTCCTCAGTATAACCATGGGCATTGATCTTGATGGTACCACTGATAGTAGATTTCTTCCTTATTTTTTTTCTTCTTCCTTATTTTTTAAGCTTTTATCAAGTCTCTGCAGTGCACCAGGATTTCAACAGAACAAATAAGATGCTGTCTACCTTCAAATGACACTCACCCTTGCTTTCCCTCCAGAGGGAAAGCACCAACAAAAACTATCTTTGTCCTTGGCAAGACATAATTTAAAAGATATACTGTACCAAATAGGAGAGTGGTAAAAAGATCAACAGAGAGACAGAGAGAGAGAAAGAAAAACTCTAACAAATAGTAATATTCCTCTTGCATTCATGTTAGGATAATTTATTCTGTTGTTTAGAGAGACATTGATAGTATATTTTTTGTTTCAAGGTTTTTAATACTCTTTTTACCTCTGAATCCATTTTTGCTTTCTAATACCTTTTTGTAAATTTATTTTATTTTTTATTTTTTTTAAGATTTTATTTATTTATTTGAGAGAGACAGAGAAAAAAACGAGCAGGGGGCGGGGCAGAGGGAGAGAGAGAGAGCGAGAAGCAGACTCCCTGCTGAGCAGGGAGCCCGATTCAGTGCTTAATCTCACGACCCTGGGATCATAACCTGAGCTGAAAGCAGACGCTTAACCAACTGAGCCACCCAGATGCCCCTAATTTATTTTTTAAAAGATTTTATTTATTTATGTATTTGAGAGAGAGTGAGTGAGAGAGTGCAAGTAGGGAGAGTGGCAGAGGAGAGGCAGAAGCAGGCTCCTGCTCAGCAGGAAGCCTAATGCCAACCAGGCTCAATCCCAGGACCCTGGGATCACGACCTGAACTGAAGGCAGATGCTTAACTGACTGAGCATCCAGGGGCCCCTCTAATACTTTTTTTTCTTTCTTTTTTTTTTTTTCAAAGTGGCCCCTCTAATATCTTTTTTCTTTTTTTTTTTTCCTAAGATTTTATTTATTTATTTGACAGAGAGAGAGCACAAGCAGGGGGAACAGCAGAGGGGGGGGAGAAGCAGACTCCCTGCTGAGCAGGGAGCCGGATGCGGGGCTTGATCCCAGGACCCTGGGATCATGACCTGAGCCGAAGGCAGATGCTTAACGACTGAGCCACCCAGGTGCCAACCCCCCCAATACTTTTTTAAAGCCAGACCTCATGTTCTTTCTCTGAGACCCAGCTTCATGACCTGGCAGATCAAATTTACAATCTGGAGCTGACAGTTCAGAGGCCGAGATGACTGCACAGGTGTGGGTACAATGGCTGTTCTTTAAGTCCCCTAAGATTACACCATGTCTCAGGATCAGATTTTCTAAAGTTCAGAAAAATCATAGTGCACTGTCAGAGTGAGGTTGCACAATCTCTTGGATGTAAATGAGATCAAAAGACAATGTTTTGTATCCTATTTTGATTAAGCTTATAGAGAGAACTATACAAATCTATGCAAAAAATTCAAGATTGCTTAGTAAGCTTAGGAGAGTTTCTGTCTTTGTGTTTGGCTGGGCATTGCCAACACGTTCATAAATAGTCACTTAGTGGTGTATTTGAACAGATTTTAATATGGACGGTGGATAAGTCACAAATCTGACTTTTGGTGCTCCTAGATGCATTCCAATGCTGACCCACTATCAAGTAATGATGGAGAGAAAAAAGGCAAGATTTAAGAAGGTCTCAGTTGGCAAGAATATTACATCATATGCTACCTAAGTCTTCACATTGGGTAGTCTGATTTTGTAGAGATTCAAGTGGAAGAGTTTTTTGAAACAAGCAGAGCCCATCTCATTTTCACCCTGCCATCGCTGCCTGTGCTTGTGAACATGAGAAGAGCTTGCTGGCTGAACCACCAATCGACTCTGTTTTGCTTATTAACTGTCCTCAGTTGAACTTGTGCACGTAGCTGACTCCAGGATTTAGCTTTGGGCACTGCTCTATAAACTGTATGAAAACAGTATTTGCAAACAGCATTCACTGTTTTCTAGGAATCCTTGTCACCTACAGGACAAAGTCCAAACATCTTAGCTTTGCCTTCAAGGCCCTGTCCAAATACATCTCTTCGCCTGTGCCCACAGCCAAACCAGTTCATTGCTGTTTGGACAGGCCCAAGCCTTCTCTCCACCAGCCCTTTGTGCATGCTGTTTATTATGCTTGAAATAAGTAACAGGTGATTTAAGTTCTTTCCATTCTTCAAGTTGTACCTCCTTCGTAAAGTCTGTAAGAGATATTCCTTCGATTTAGCCTTATGATGATCTCACCTAGGGGATTTATTTGAAAAAAGGCAAAGCAGACTTTAATGAAGGGAAGGGAAAAATACAGATGTTTTTCCTTCCCCTGAAAAGAGTCAGAGACTAGCATTCAAGTCTTTTGGCTCAAAAGGAATCAGGAATTATGAGATAACATCGTATTGGTCAGCAGGACGCAGGTGGAAGAATGTTCTGATTTAGTGAACCTGTTGTTAGTGCAACCAATAGTAGCTACACCTCCTGACCTCCTCCTTGTCTTAGGAGGAAGAAAGCCAATAACAGATTTCCTCCTATGCAGCATATCTGATATAACTGCTTTAAGGTAAACAGTTGAGCATTAGTAGCAGCTGGTTTTCCTCTGGAAGATCGAAGTCAAGGAGACAGGGACGGTTTTCATGGTCATAGTCCAGGGCTGCAGCAGTGGCCTTATATCTATTCCAAAAAGGATGGTATTACTCTAGCTCTCCTGTAGATACATAATTCTAAAGCCTGAAGACTTTCACCTTTTACCTTTGGCCAACACTCTCAACTTCAAGGCTGGATTTGAAATAATGGCTCTAGTAGGAACCTGCATCCTCAATCTTGTCATTGCCAACAGATACACCTTCCATCTTAAACCCTGTTAAGGCTGCAGTTTTATGAACACCTCTTTTTTTTTTTTTAAAGATTTTATTTATTTATTTGACAGAGAGAGACACAGTGAGAGAGGGAACACAAGCAGGGGGAGTGGGTAAGGGAGAAGCAGGCTTCCCGCGGAGCAGGGAGCCCGATGCGGGGCTCGATCCCAGGACCCTGGGATCATGACCTGAGCCGAAGGCAGACACTTAATGACTGAGCCACCCAGGCACCCCTTATGAACACCTCTTAATACTGCTCTAGTTGAGAGTACAGAAGCAATGGTTGCTTCTATAGCTTGGAGGCTTCAAACTGTGGGTCTCTCATTCAACTTAGATTACAGACTTCAGACAGAGAACACCTCCCTTCCTAAAGCAGTGTTTCCTTTAATCTCAGTTTATAGGCTTGGTAGCTCTGATCTGAGTTTGTGTCTCCCTTGTAGACTTTACTAAAAGTGACAAATAAGAGCCCACACATGGATCGCTATGAATATTCCAACTATTTCCCTTGACACTGGAGTCTCTATCAGAACATGAACATACTTCCAAAGTACAGAGGCAAGCATTTGACTAAGTATTTTGCTACCTCATTGTAAAGATCACCAGCTTCTAGCTGCTGTTCCTCCACTAACTCTTGACATTCTTTGGCTTAAGTTCTTAGTAGCATTCCACTTTCAAGTACCAGTTTCTGTGTCACTAAGATTTTATTTGTCTATTTATAAGAAAAATTTCAATAACTAGCTCAAGCAATATAGAAATTTATTTCTCTTTCATGTTAAAGAAGTCTGGAGGCAGGAAATTTAGGACCAGAACTCAGTGTACAATTTCTCTTCTATCCCATCCTTTGTGTTTAGATTCCAGCTTTCGAGGTTGCCTCATGGTGCAAAGTGGCAACTGGGATTCCAGACATTTTGTTCAAGTTTTAGACAGAAATAATATAGAGGACAAAAGGACAACAAAATCCCCTCCTTGTTGAGTCTGTGTCCTTAATAGTGAGTAGGGAGTATACTCTTTCATTTGGCATACTGAGGCTTATAATTAAACCAGGATTCTGTTTGTAGGTAGGAGAAATTGGACATTGTATAGACAACTATCACACTATTTCTCTGGCACTTAACTAGCCATTATGCCAAACACTAAATATAGTAGTAAGCCCCTGAAGATACACCTTACAAGTACAAAGCAAAAATGCCCCAAACTACTCATGACAAAATGACTTGTATTAGTAAAATACTAAAAACAATCTAAATACCCACTCTTAGATTAGTTGAGCAGCCAAAAAGTGGTGTAATTTGCCATTGTGAAGTGACAACACAGATCTTTATGTAACTATATGGAATCATTTCCAGAATATATCATTAAATAAAGCAAGGTGCCAACAGGGTATGCAGTGAACTTGCTTTTGTGTAATAAAGAATAAATAAATAAGAGCACACACACACATTGCTTAGATTTCAAAAAAGAAACATAGGAATGACAACCTAGAAAGTAATGAAAGTGATTACATAAGCAGGTGGGTGAGAATTGAGGAAGGGTTAAGGCTGGGAACTAGACTTCTCTGAATATACCTTTAAATAGTGTTGACTTTTGGAATATTTTATACATTCATGTAAATATTTTATATATTCAAAAATAAGC